CTCCTCCTCCTCCTCCTCCTCCTCCTCTTCCTCTTCCTCCTCCTCTTCTTCCTCTTCCTCTTCTTCGGGTACTGTAAATCGAACTCTGGACCTTACACTTGCGAGGCAGGCCATGGAACTACTGAGCTGAATCCTGGCCCTGATGCTTCTGATTTAGCAAATTCCACCCGTTCTCTTTCCCTCAGTGCCCCCTTCCTCCAAGTTTCCCCGACAATGTTGGGAGAAATGTTCTGCTGCTCTCTGGGGAGAGTCCTATCTGGAATATAAGTGGCAATCCTGGGCGCTCCATAGATAAACCCGGGCTCCAGCCTCAGGGAAAACAGTGCCCCTGCTGGGCCAGGTTCTGAGCAGCTGCTGGTTAGCATTACCTGGGGCACTTAAGATAAGGGATGCTGAGTCTGCTTCTATACCCAGAGACACTGTTTCAGAGCTCAGGGTATTTTTTTCCCCAGGAGTGGAGGTTGAACTCAGGGCCATTGCTCAGAGCTACAGCCCTATCCATGTTTTTTATTTTTTATTTTGACACAGGGTCATGCAAGTCGATGAGTTGTCCAGCCTGGGGCTTGAACTTGAGACCCTCCTGCCTCAGCCTCCCAAAGTGCTGGGGTTGCAGATGTACACCACCATGCCTGGCTCAGGCATCTTTACTTGATTTTTTAAAGTGCCTTAGATTTTTCCAAAGTGCTACCGAGGTCAGGAACCTCTGGTGCAGAAGAGCCAGACATCTGAAGGGAAACAATGTACTACTCCAGTAAAAGATTAAAAGCAAAATTTCCAAATGTTTCTACAGGCTAGAATCACCTAAGGGCTTAAAGAAAAAATCCTGATGCCCAGATGATTTTTCCATCTCAATCAATCAGCGAGTGTGTGGCTAGAAACCAGGAGTCTGTATTTTTAAATTGTCCTGAGTGATCCTAGGCTTCAGGAACTTCAGATGGTATTTGAAATTTCAAGGGCTGGCTCCAGGTGAGTTTGTGAAGTATGGTGACATTTATTGTGTTTAGTGACCTCCAAATTCCCCTCATTCCTTGCTTTTCTGACCTTTTATGGTCTGCAGGTACTCGCTCCTTCTGAATCATGCTGTTTGAAGCTGGTTGATAACTAATCTTTCTAAGGTGGTAGTTTAATGTAGTATCTCCCTAGCGATGTTCTCATTTTTCATAAAGGATTTGTTTAAAATCTGAAAACTTCCAAGAGAGCTCACCAATAATACAACCTCAGGTGTGAAGAAAGGCTACCATGGCCCTGAAGGGGTCCTGGGAAGGGGCCTCTAACTCAAGCCTGTCCTATCCCATCCCTGGGCTCTTTGACTGTAAGTCATACCTACTGTCCGCCCAGTCTTGGGCCCCATGCGGTAAAGGAGAAACCCTTTTCTAGGTAGGCAGAATCCAGCCTGGGACCCATGCAGCTGCCAACCAGAATTCCGTTTAATCTTAATCCATTTAGCAGTGGGAAAGCGGCATCTCACAAAGTGATAAAATCTGATTACCATGGCTCAGCGAGAGAAGGACAGGTCCTTTGAAGACAGTAATTGCTTAGCAATGTGGACTCTCTAAATGAGGGTGTTGGGAGGATTCCCCCATTTCCTTATTGGTGTGAGTGTCAAGTTAATGTCTGTATTCCATGACTCACCTGTTAAAGAACCTCCAGGAGAAGGCGCTGCTCTTGAAAGCACTCTATCTCCTGGATTAAGAAGGTTACACAGCAGGAGTGTAAAGGAAAGTGTTCCGTAGTTGTAAACATGCCTCTTCTGTGGGGCTGGAGGAATAGTTTACTCATGAAATATATTTAAAACACCCTGAGCTTTGTCATCCGCTGGGACTGTCAGGAAGTATGAATCAATGGGATGGATCTCTCTGGTAGCATCGGACCAGCTCATGGCTGTTTATATTGACTGTTTAAAGCTCAGTCTGGGTGAGCAGGCTGGGTGTGGAGGGCTCAGTGTGTGCGGCCCCTGCAGCTCTTGCCCCCACTGCCCGGGTGAGCTCGTGAACTTACACTTCATCAGGGCTGTGGGGGTCATTTTTCTGTTTGTCTTCCACTGCTAAAAATTTCCCTGGCCGCCAATAAACCAGCTTGCTGATTTGGTGACCTTGGAGAAGTATTCTGAAATATCCTGGAGGTGCTCGCTGAGAACCATCTTGGAAAGAAAGACCTCCTCTACCGTCTCTGTGTAAACTGGGGCTGCTCCACCCAATTCTTTACCGCCACAGTGCCCTGCTGTATTTCCTTCCTTGTGCTGATCACGTGGAGTTTTTCTTTTTAAATTTGCTTACTCATTTGTTTGTGTCTCCTCTGGGACTGTCAGCCTCCAGAGGCTGAACTCCTAGTGGCCTGTGTGGCAAGACAGAATGCTGAGCATTGGGAAGGTGCTTTGAGAAGATCGAAATGATGAAACTGTGCGTAGTACCGCTGTCTCACAGTTTAAATTCACCCTTCACTGATCTGCAAGATATGATTCTTTAGAAATAGGTTATGTGATTGTTACCGGGTAACAACTTGGAAGTAGAGACATTTAGAACACTGAGGTTGGTGGTATTTAATATGCGTCACAGGCTTTATTAATGCATCTCTTTTTCATTCGTTACCCACAGGTGTATTAATGTGTACTGTGCGTTCCATGTGAGTAGTACTGACAGTTCCTTAAATCTGAGTTATTCTGCATTTTAGACTTCACTTAGTTATTCTGAATTAATGAGGTGTTGATTTCCCGGTGCTAGGATAAAATGAAATAGAAAAACTTGAATCATGCTCAGAAAAGGGAATCACTCTAAGTCCAAGTAACAAGAAACTTATTGTACTAAAAATACTGGCAATCTTCTGAACAAAATGACTCTAGGGAAACATAAATTAGAAGAAAAATGGAATACTCCCTACTTGTCTTTGTAACCAGATACACTGAACTGTCTTTCCCTCATAAACATGGGATCAGTAGGACTATTTTTCACTGGAGCTGCTTGTACTTATGAAGATTTTTGTTAGCAGAAAATGAATCCATGCCTGCAAGCTACTCAACAGCAAAAGCAGGTTGGAGAACATTTTCGAGAGGTGGCCTGTGGCTCGAAAAGCAGTGGATGTTCCCCTGCAGAGATTTAAATGTTCAATTCTGTGATATTCCAACAAAAAAGTTGTATACAAAGTGTTCTTAAAGTAAGATCAAAGGGCAAGCAGATACCATTGTTTAGACCTCAGATGGTGTTTCCTTTGGTTGTCGAAGAATGGGTATAAATCCTTTTTGTAATGTGCTGAATCATAGTTAGTTAGTTTCTTCTCTTAAGAGTTTACCTCTGATTAGGTTGGCTTCCCAGGGATATGAGAATCTCTGTAGGCAAAAAAAGAGGGATATTCAGCCCTTCATTCAGCATGTGACAATGATGTTGTATCCGGTGTCTTCAGAGTTTGGCAACTTTATATATCATATTTCATTTTTCCGCACTGGGGATGAAAACCCAGGGTCTCATGTCTGCTAGGCACACAGTCTACCAATGAGCTACAGCCTCACATTAATACTTGCATGAGTATGGGGGGCTGTGGGTATGTGTTATTAAAGGCAGTGTTGCAGGCTCTAAAATCCGACCTGTTCAGACCTCTTCGTGTCACTCCTATTTAAGAAGCTGAGTTGGAAAAGGACAACGAAGCGGGTACAGTTTCTTGGCCAATGAATCTGCTTTTGCTAACCTTTCACAGCTCTATCTTCTTGTCTCTGTTTCCTATCCTACGTCAAGACAAAATGGAATTATTCTTAAGGAGTAGTTCTTTTTCAACTCAGCATAAGGTCATTACTATTTTACTTTTTTTTTCCACTTTGAGCTAGATTCTGTTTTCCCACCCTCCTCTTTGCTGAATCTTTGTCCTTTTGCCATTTGTTGGTGTTTCTAGTGGTGGGAGGAAGAGGAGGCAGTAGTTTAATAGGAAAATTGTTTCTGTTAAGCTTCCGTAAGTATCCGAATAACAGGAGTAGGAATCAGTACAGAAATTCCCTAGATGTGAACAACTTACAGGGGCCTGGCCCCTGTGAACGGCAGCCACACATTAATTTGTCCCCTCCAGGCATGTGCCAGGCTGTGTCAGCAGGGCTGAAATGGGATTGGCAGGTCCCGCTCTTTTGTGTTCTTTACAAAGAGCCAGTGCATTCTGTTGTCCCCATGTCCCTGTTTGCATTCTCACCACTGAGATAATTTTATTTACACACATTTTCTCTTTTCCCTGGGACTCTTAACCTCCTGCTCAGCACCCATCTCTGTGCCATCTCTTACCTCCTGAAAATCTGCGAGCCAGAAAATGTCCCCTAGAATATATGAAAGTGGTGACAGTTGTTATCAATGAGAAGAAAAATCATCACCACGTTAGTAAAAATTAGAGCTATTAAAGGGTAAATGCCATCTACTTCTCAAGATTTGAGAACACCGGATGTTCTCAGGACCAGACTCCCATCTGCTGGTCTTCTACCACAAGCATTAATGATCATATTGGGATTTTTCTTCATTTATCAGTGTTTTGAGGATATCATCTACTATAGTTTTCTTTTTCCCCATCCAATCTATTAAACTCTATGGATAAAGTTAGATCTCAGAGCCTGGCCCGGAAATCAGCTACTATCCACAATATGGTATTTCTGGGGAGATACATGTCAAGCAACAGATCACTTTTTGGGGGTTTATTAACTTAGTTTGGGATTCTTGGTAAATTTGTTGTTCACAGAATTTAGAGCTCACTTAATCTCTTGAGTGTGTGGATGAATTTGTTAGGTTCATTCTGTTATACCTGAAAGCTGAGCGACAATCCCCAGACCTGTGCACAGACCCTAGTGCATGCGTGTGACCGGGCCGTAGGTTGGAGAGAGTGGATAATTAAAGATGCCCACCAGAGCACAATCCTGAGTAGAAGGCAAGGGAGCCCCGAACTCCTGGAATTCTGTGGGTTTTCTCTCAGTGGACAGTGTGCTCTCCTAGGACTGTGCTTTTAGAAAGGAAAGTGCTGTGTGCATCTATAAATACCCTCCGGTGGGGCATGACTGCTGACCGCTAGGAGCTGCGGCTGAATTGAAAACCACATTGCCGAGCAGCATTGTTCCAGGGATATCCACAGGTGGCGATTCTCTTCCTGCCCTTCCCATCCCCATTATTCAAGAGATTGGGGGCATAATAGAGGTGGTATCTAAATTACATCAGGCCCCTCCGCGATGGCTCCCCACGGTCTTCTTATCGCCAACACAGTCCCAGATGGCTGTGTCTAAGAATCTCCTGCCAACATTTTTGCAGAATGAGGTTCTAGTTCCTACTGGGAGAGCCTTCCTGACTTTCAAAGTCGTGGGCATACGCCCTTGATTATGGGTCCTGATAGACAGGCGGAGACTGTCCTGGGCTGAGGTGTCTGTCCGCGCTGGGGTTTTCGGTCCCATTGTTTTCTCACCACCGGGAGCTGTGTGTGGGAGGGGAGAGCAGCAACGTGGATTCACAGCGGGCGGAGGAGAGCAGTGCCCCTGGCCAGAACCCACTCCACGCTGACCTCTGCTGTCCGCCCCTTGCCGCCTTATCTGTCACCACTTACCCTTTCACCTTGTCCAGAATGTGACTTCCAGCCTGAAACGTCTGTGTTTGTTGTTCACTGTTCCTGTGTTTACAGTCTTCTTGGTTTCCTGTACATGAACATGAGCTGCAAAAAAAAAAAAAAAAAAAAATTCTGCCTCTTGCCTCAGCAGAGCCTGAGCTCACTGCCGATGGTATGAGCTGTCGGACGTGCTGACGAGGCCAGGAGACGTTTCATAACTGGCTTTGATTATCCGCCGAGACCACTTGCGTGTCCCTCCCTTCTTTTAAATTGATGAATTACATCGAAGTAGTCCAAGAGCCGTGTTTGTAAACTAGAAAACGAAGGACCCAAAGTCCTCACTTGACTTTATTCTTTCCAGATTTTATTTGTAAACACTCCTATATCAGAGTAGGTTAACCAGAGAGAGGCTGTGCAGCTTTTACAAACAGAACTGATAGCTTTTAGGGTAGTTTTAGGTTCACAGAGAAACTGAGAAGAGAGAGAGTACAGAGATTTCTGTTACCCCCTGCTCCCACACACGCCCAGCACGCCCTGAACAGCGTCCCCCACCAGGGTGCTGCCTTTGCTGCATGTGATGACCCCCTTGACTCGCTGTTTCCCCCCAGATCCCACCGCTCACCTGATGGCTCACTCTGGACCTTGTACGCGCTATGAGTTTGGACAAATGTACAATGACAGGTGTTCACCGTGGTATTATCACACAGAGTAGTTTAGCAGCCCCAAAACTCCTCTGTGGGAAAGTTGTCCATTTAATGGAGGGGGAAAATTCATGAAAATCTAAACATTCAAAATATGCAGAGTTAGAGGAGAAAAATCATGAAATACCTTCACTGAATGATGCTTTGTCTATGGGGTCTTACCCCAGTGGTGTATAAGAGTAATTTCGATTGCCTATGATACCATGGAGCCTTATTTTATAGCACTTCTAAATGTTGACAACAAATCCATCAGAAATCTTTCTAAAAGTCTGGGAGTTAAAAAATCTTTTTTCCCGCGCATGCTTTCACCGAGGTGTCTGTCACCATAGTACCTAGACAATCCCTCAGGCAGAGACAGGAGTGATTAAATTTCCCCCTGGCTTGTGCCCTGTGTGATCCGTGCTCTGCAGGATTTGAGGGACTGAAATCAAGAAGCCTGAAGAATGAACAAGAATTATTGGTATTCTGTGCTTAGATATTATTGAAATTTGGGGGAAGTTTAGAGGAGGAGTTAAAACTTTTTCCACCTTTTCTGAAAATGTGATGCATATTAAAACTTATGCATGAGAAACACACACACACACACACACACACACACACACACGCACACATCTTGCTGGATCTATAGGCCAAACCAGGGAACTTTTCAAAGACCTCCAAAGGAGAAACTATTTAGATCAGGGTAAAACTAAATTAATTGAAACTCCATAAATCCAGAGATCTTCCTATTAATATATAGAAGAAGCTTAATTTTAGTCTTTGAACAGTTTACTATAGAAAGGAGCTACACAGATCACTGGTAAATAAGTAAGAAAACACAATAATATAAACAAGAAACATGGTAACTCTAAAAAGTGCTGTGGAACATATAGCTAGCAATTCATTTGCAATGGGTTGGGAATTTGTGAGAATGTCTTTGTGAATTTTGTACAGATTGGAGATTTCATGAATTTCCCCCATCTTTCTTTGGAGCTATTATTCATCATAGTGGATCCTACCTTGCTGAATTCTAGGTAAAGTTCCACCCCTTATTTCCCAGTCCACCCTCAACCTGCACAGAAGAAATGTCTTAAAAAGGAGAAGAGTTTGGGGCCATGGCAGTATCAGTGGATCCTAGAAATTCAGCTTTCTTCCTTCCATGATGTGTGACTTAGCTCGTGCTGTGACTTAATTGAAGTTGTTTGATCCTACTGTTATAAATGCACGTATTGTCATTGTAGGAAGTGTAATCCAACATGGTGGTAGGGCTGGAGGCTGCGCCCAGTGGATGTTATTGTTTCTTCCTCTTATTGCATTTCTTTCCTTTTTATGTATGTTCTTTTCTCGTACTTTTGGTGCCTTTGTCCTTGATCTAGCAGCACAGATTGCACACATTTCCATGGAGTTTTATACCATAGAGATCAGTCATTGCCCTTATTATGTTTAAGTAGTTGGTTTTCTTGATGGTGGTAGAAAGTGCTTGTGGCCTTTTATTTATTTTTTCAGTATCTGGGATTGAACTCGGGATGAGGCAGGCAGCAGCACCACTGAGCTAAATCCCCGGCCCTACATTAAACTTTATTTTGGTACAGGGGTTGAACTCAGGACCTTGCACTTTGGGAGGCAGGCCATGGAACCACTGAGCTGAATCCCTGGCCATGGCCTTTTAAATATACAGTACAGGAAAGGATTTGATTAAGATTCAGGAGGCTTGAGTTTAGTATTTAGTCTTTGTAGAGTCCGTTTTTGTAATGTTCAAGACACTGGACCCAGATCCTAAGTCTCTTCCTTGCCTGTGAAATGTGAATATTGGGCTACATCAGTATTTTCTCCAAAGTGTTTTACAGAATACTACTTTTCCAAGATGTCCTAAAAAAAATCATAGAAGCACTTAATATTGTAATATTCCGGGCTTTTAGGGTTTAAATGTCTATTAGCATATTAGAGCTGTGAGTCACCTTGCGTAAAGAAGCCTGCTAACTTGTAATAGTTTTCTTGGAATTTATTACTGCTTTGTGACTCCTTTGGGCCAAAATCCCTTTGTCATACCCTGGCCTTTCCGCACCCACAGCCACATCTGACTCTTCCTTGGCTATCTTTGCAGAGCCAGGCAGGGGCCCAGGAGGCCGTGTTTCCACCATTGCCTTTCCACTGTTGACCCCTGGGCTCTCTTCTCCTTCCTGTGGTGGGGGACAGTGGCTTCCTGCTGCTCTGAGACCAGCTTGACTGCTGAGCACCCCCCCATTGGTTCTGAGCTACAGCAGACCTTGACACTGTGCCTCTCATGCTTTTCTCTTAAGGCCTCACTTGTCCTTAGGCATGGAATGTGAGGACAATGTTGGGAGTGGCTTTCTTGGGTGAGAGAACCACAGGGCCGAGTCTTCTTGGGGGCAAGCCTGCTTTTTGCAGCTGTGCGTGGTCTAACCCTTTATTTCATCCTCTATGTGTAGTTTTGAAAATAATAATGCAAAGAGGCAGACTCCTTTCTTAAAAAATTTGATCCAGAGCACTCTAGATTGTTAGTGACCCTGTTGGCATCTTGTTTATAAAGACCGAAGTTTTAAAGAATAGATCCTGCTGGAAAATAGCACGAAGATTCTACGATGGGCTTCTGTTTTAAATTTGGCCTTCAGGTAGGGCACAAGTCCAAGAACTTTGGGAAAGTAGACTCTGATCTACCCCCAGCTTTCCCCTGACACTCAACCCTCTCCAACTGTTCTGTGGCTTAGATATTGCTGCTTTTTTTCAGGACAATGTAAATATTGTATTTCTTTATGACCTTTTGCCTTAAAAAACGGTGAATGACATTTAGTATTCTGTTATCTCAGCATGGCAAAAACTTAGACTTTTATAGCTGCAGATATAGTAGATAGTAAGAGGAGAATTTGGAGTTTGGGGAGAAAATGAAAATTTAAGGTAGCGTCAACCAGATGTTCCAAATAGCACTCAGTCTCACATTTGTTTTTGAAATTATTTGACCACCTTCCACCCGCCTGCCACATATTTTCCTTGTAGGCTCCTTTGTCCATCGCTCTGCTGAAATCGCACTACTGAAGGGGACTAATGGCTGTCCTGAGCCTTCGAGCTCTTCTACGCAGGACTCCATGAGGCCAACACTCCTTTCCCCTCTGCTCTCCGGCCTGATGTATCTGTGGGCATTTTCCGAAGTGCAGAGGAAGACTGAAAGGGCTGGATGTGGCAGGAGACCCACACAGGGAAGGAGTAGGACGTGGGCAGAGGGCCGGTCACCCAGAGTTGCCGCAGTGAGGAGATGCACGGCCGGAGGGTGACAGCCGACACAGGCTCTCTGGGGACCACCAAGGCAGCAGGTGGCTTTTTCTCAGCAGGCCATGGTGATGGGAGCTTGCAGCCAGTGTGTTCACAAAGCCGAGTGTCACCTGCAGAGAGATGGCCCAGCCGTGGGTGCCTCTGCCTGCGTTTGTTTTTCTTCTTTTTCCTTCCCCATCTCTTCTGATCACAGCCCAAGTGTGGGCCCGCGCCAGAATCCTACAGTGCAGTGCTTCCCAAGCTGTCTTGGTGCAAGAACCATTTTGTTTACAGGAGAGTTTCATTTTGTGGGCCCATACTTTTGCAGAATTCATGAAAATTCTGCAATTCAGATTCACGAATCAGTAGAACAGTGATATAGAAAACCCCCAAAGCATAGAAAGCCAAGTATCAATCAATGTTTAATTATTGGATTCCTCTTATATCAAGTTCAGTCTGTGGTCACACAGTCTAAACCTATTGTTTCTGTCCATACACAGAGCAGAAGCAGATACATTAACAGGCAGGTTTTCAGATCGGACCCTGGAGGGGAACTGAGATATGGGAATCTGCATTTTTTTTTCAGTCCTGGGGTTGGAGCCTAGGGTCTTTGCACTTAGCTACACCCCCAGTCCTTTTCATTTATTTTTTATTTTGAGACGAGGTCATGCCAAATTGCTAAGTTGCCCTGTCTGGGCTTGAACTTGCAATCCTCCTGCCTCAGCCTCCCAGAGAGCTAGGATGACAGGCGTGTACCACCACACCTGGCTGGGAACCTATATTTTAACAAGTTCTCCTGGTGATGAGAGAGGTGACTAAGGTTTAGGGACCATAGAGCTAGTTTCTCAGGCTTAAATTTAATTTTTGCCCCCTGTCCCGCATCCCATCCATGGCCACACCTACTGTTTCTGATCCTAGAATCTCCCATTCCTATCTCCCCACTCTTTTTCCTTTGCTCCCACGTTCCCCAGATGAGGTCTTGCTGATCCTTGGCCTTGACTCCGGCACCGGCTTCCCTGTTGCTAATCCACTGCTGCATCCCCGCCAGTGCAGTCTCTCTGTGGCACAGACGTGATGTTATCCCCTCCTCTCACCTTCACTGGATCCCAGCGGGCTGCAGAAGGGAAGGGAGCTGGAAGGCCTGTGCCTCCCGCCC